CATTATATATGCACATATGTATGTAATATAGGCACATTAATATATAATATAAACTTTCTCTGAAGTATAAAGAACCTGAGAATATACATGTAATTAGTTATATAATAACTATATAATTACATAGTTATATAATAACTAGTTAATAATATATACATATTAATATACAATATATACTAGTACATCTACATAAAACCCAAGGAGACTGATTACTAAAAATCTTTCAAAAATTATTTACTTTAAAGTTTCATTTATTGGGGCACATGAGTGGCTCAGCCTGACTTCGGCTCAGGTCATGATCTCACAGCTCTTGAGTTCGAGCCCTGTGTCAGGCTCTGTGCTGACAGCTCAGAGCCTGGAGCCCGCTTCAGATCCTGTGTCTCCCTCTCTCTGCTCCTTCCTCACTCACACTCTGTCTCTCTCTCTCCCAAAAATAAACATTAAAAACTTTTTTCTAAATGAATAAAGAAAATAAAGTTTCATTTATTTTGAGAGACAGGGTGCATGCATGCATGAGTAGGGGAGGGGCAGAGAGAGACAGAGACAGAGAGAGAGAGAGACAATCCCAAGCAGGCCCGGCCCCATCAGCGTGGAGCCAGATACAGGGCTCAAACTCAGAAACCAGATCATGACCTGAGCAGAAATCAAGAGTTCCACACTTAACTGACTGAGCCACCCAGGCACCCCCCAAAATACTTTAAATTATTCAACTTACTATAATATGTGAAGACCTCACTTCAAAAATTATCCCTCTCCATTCAATCAACAACATATCTCTCTACAACTGAAGAGGAAGAGTGTTAGCAGTGAAAACTTTATTTGGCACCTGCCAATTTTCCTACCATTTCAACCACTGACCTGGCTAACACAGGTCTAGAAGGGATGACACAGGCAAGCGCCAAAACCAAAAGTGATCTTGAGAGTACTCAAGTAGCAACAGTAGCCTGCAGCTATCTCCCCTGTTAAATAATATATAAAAAGTGCTTCAAATTTCTAATATTTGTTTTTACAAACAAATTTTCATGCTAGAACAAAATTTTCATGACAGCTGAATTGTAAGGAACACAAGCCAAAGCAACAGATAATCATGCAAGCAATAAAGGACTTTGAAGTCAGATTTAAGATAGGGATATGGTATATTTCTTTTGCCTATGTTTCAATCTAACACTAAAATTAAACCAAAAAGTCTACAAAAGCAAACTGTTCTGAAATGATCATTGTAATCATGAAGCCAGTTTCTGAAATTCTGGCCACATGTAACCCAAGCAACAGAAAATCTTTGTATGGTTTATCAACAGTCTGACTTCATCTGAAAAAAAAATTAAAGAAAAAAAAAGCAGAAAAATAGGGTGGAGGGGGAATAGAGAAAAAATGAAGCTTAGAAACACACATTAAAGACTGGAGTGAAGTCAAGACTCCAGAAACCAGGTAGGGACAAGGGCAGCACTATGGGGTCTACAACACAACCCAAGGGAACACTACTCCCATCACAGTCTAGTAAGATTGCACCTCGGGGCGCCTGGGTGGCTCAGTCGGTTAAGCGTCCGACTTAGGCTCAGGTCATGATCTCACGGTTCGTGGGTTCGAGCCCCGCATCGGGCTCTGTGCTGACAGCCAGCTCAGAGCTTGGAGCCTGTTTCAGATTCTGTGTCTCCCTCTCCCCCTCTGATCCTCCCCTGCTCGTGCTGTCTTTATCTCTCTCTCAAAAATAAATAAAATATTAAAAAAAAAAAAAAAAGATTGCACCTCAAGGCCTGCACAGGGCAAAATGTGCCCAACCATATGCGGCAGCCGTGTACAAAAGGGTATTCATGACTCTCCAATAGAGCAGACAAGAGCACTGCCAGCTGGGTCTGCACATCAACAGAAAAGACAAGTAACAATTTTCTCTTATTATGATATGATTAAATAGGCTGACCCAAAAACGCTTTCTTGCATACATTCAAGTTCTTTCAGTAAATTCAGAGTAACTGATTAATTTTATATATAAGATCAGAAGGTTCATTGAGTTCTTTGTATCAAAGCAATTTAGCCACAGATTTTTTTCTTTCAAAATAAGATCAATCTTCAAACTTCACAATGTCTACATTGTGTATTGTACTGTCTAATATATGACACAGTACTATGTCATAATATGCACTCAGTACCAGAGTGAGGTTTTCAAGTATACAATCTTTTTCAATCTAGAGCTGCTATCATAGCAATCCAATTTCATATAAAATGCACTTTTAAGAGTTCACTGTCAACTCCTTCTGTTCTTATATATAAATGCAAATCTGATGTGAAAAGAAAATCCAGACCAAAGTATCTCAAGTGGCAGGACACTGAAAATAATGTGGGTACTAAGGCTGATCTGTTTACCCTAAAGCTGCCTTAGTTTCCAAATGATTATGGTTCTGAGATCTGTCAACTCTGACCTAAGCCTAAAATGGATCCAAAAGATTTTTCAAAAACGGCCGTAAATTTTGGTCCCTATCTTTATCTAGCCTTGGTCAGTGGTAGAGAACCTAGAATTATTTTGATAATTTAAGTCCTGGAAGCAATAGGTATGGAGAGAACAAGGGTCAGGAAGTGTGACAAACATTAGGGTGGACCCATTTTCCATGCCTACACACGTGTGACCAACTACTAGTGTTTTTTTTTTAATTTTTTAAATTTAATATTTAATATTTTTATTTATTTTGAAAGTGCAAACAGAGTAGGGGTAGAGAGAGAGAGAGAGAGGGAGACACAGAATTTGAAGCAGGCTCCAGGCTCTGAGCTGTCAGCACAGAGCCCGACAGGGAGCTTGAACTCATGAGCTGTGAGATCATGAGCCAAACTGAAGTGGGACGCTCAACCGACTGAGCCACCCAGGCACCCCCAACTACTACTATTTGCCAAAGGAGACCTCTACCTTCTTTTATAGTACCCTGAATAGTACCACTGTTAAGAGGCAGTTTAGCACAGTGATTAAGAACAAAAATTTTTATTACCTGGATTTAAATCCTAGATCTGCTATTTATAAGCTCTGGATCCCTGAGCAAGGTTAACACCTTAGCCTCAGTTTCCTCATCTGTAAAATGAGGATAAGGGTATATACCTCATAGTTTTAAGAATTTAATAAGTTCATATATATGATGTGCTTGCAATGGTACCTTGTACAAAAAAGGTATTCAATAATGTTACCTATTATCTTCTCTTTTGGCTCTAATGCAGGCCACAAAATTTTTTTTTTTTTTGAAAAATCATCTGGTCTAGCTGCCTCATTTTATAAATAAACAAACCAAAGCCAAAGGTAATAATGGCTTACCTCAAATCACAGAACTAGTTATTGACAGAGCCAGGCCTACCCAGGCTAGTTTTTTCCACCATACCACTCCAGGTATGCTCACATCTGAGATCTAAGATTCTGAGGCTTAAGACTGACATGCATCCAACTTTTCAGCATCTAAAAATGACTGTGTGTTAATATACTAAATGCTTTACATATATTATTAGTATGTGTTCATCAAATCAACAGGGCATCATAATTTATGTTTGTGGATGCTATTATCTCAGAAAGGCTATGTTCTGCCTTAGACTTCACAGCCAATGTTTGTACCAAGAATTGGAAGGCAGGTCTGACTATAAAATACCTGCTTTTCCACTATACAATGGAAAAAACTTTAATACAGCCCTAATCTGTATTATTGCAAATATTTTGCAATCTTTGATGTTAAATAAATCCCTTTTATATTTTACTAAGCAACTGAAGATAGATTTCATTCCCTTCAAGCTGTACCAACTTTCAACATGGTTTATCTGTTCAGGCTCGTTCTAGTTCTGTTCTGGTTAGATAAACCCAGTTTCAGATTCTACAAGATTAAGGAGCTGAGTGGCCCAATAGCTAGATCCCCAGAGAATGGCTAGCTATGGTGAATTTAATCAATAAGTACAGGCACATACTATATAGGTATAGCTTTGTATCTTCAGGTGCAGACTTACGGTGTTAGGAACACAGCATTTTAACATTGTTACGTCATAGTAGTGGCATCGCTATATTGTATAACCAAAGACCTGCCTTTCAGAAATGCATCTCTCTCCTTTTCAATCCTAACTCCCCAAAACTTGCTCAGCAGGACCCTGAAGGGAAGCCGAAGCAAAAACCAACCCGGGAACTGCTTTCAGCACCTGGAAAGCTGTCGCCAGCCTTTATATTATCACTCTTCCCGCCTTGGCGTCCTCTCCCGCCAGCCTGCGGGCTCTCGGCACAGCAGCCACGGACAAGTCCAGGCGTGCCAGGTCCCATTCCACCCAAACGCCCCTCCGCAGTCCCAATCAGGGCGGGAGGCTGGACAGCGGCCTTCGACTCAGAAAAGACGGTAAAAAGGAGGCAGAAGGCCCTCCTCAGGGATGAAAGCAGCCCCTCCCCAAAGGAACCTCTGGGCTCAATAATGAGAAGAGGAGAAAGAGGTTGCGCAGGGGCTCGGCAGGGAAGCCAGGCCTCCGCCGCCCACCAAATGCCCAGGCCCGAAGCCGCTCTTCCCGGGCCCTAGGCGCGTCGGACCGCGTCTAGCCTACCCCGCCCTCCAGGCCCTAGATGTGCCGAGGCCGCAACTCCAATAGCCCGGGGCCAAGCCCTCCGCCGCCCAAGACTGTCCTCACCTGCCGTTGGAGGCGCTGGGAGTGGGAGGGATCAGGAGGACGCCTCAGGCCCCAACACTTGGACCAACTGGTACCGGCAGCTCCGCCCTCTGCGCCCACAGAGCGTGCGCCGAGGCGGGAGTCCCGCCCCGTCCCGCCCCGTCCAGCCCCGTCCAGCCCCGTCGCCCACCAATCGCCACTCAAGAAGACACGCCTGCGCATTAGCTGTACGACGCCCCTATCGTCCTTTGTCGAAGCCCAGGGATCCACCTTTTGCCATAACAAAAGGACGTTGGCATCCAATCAGGGTTGAGGCTACTGTGGGCGGGTCCAGGAAAAGCAACAGCCAATGGCAGCACAGAAGCGAAGTTAGGCGTGAGAAAGCAAATCCCTGGAAAGCAGCCCGTCAGCCTCAGCAGGACCCTGAAAATTGGGGACAGAAATCCAGTATGGAAAATTCTGACAGCTGTCAGGAAGGAGGTTGGTAAAACCGAATGCCCGGAGAGAGGAAAATCATTCAAATTTAAGAAAAGGGCATTTGTGGACATGAAAGATAAAGCCAGTATAAAACCGTAGTACCTCAATTCAAAAAGCAGACTTTTCCATATTTTTTAATTTCCCAAATCGAGAAGTTCATAAGTACACCCCTAGTGGATTGTTCCTCTCCACATCCTTTCCAATCCATCCTTTCTATGGATTATTAAATCCATAGTGCGCCTGACTATTTAATAATATTTAGAATTGAGAAAATACCTTAATGATACTTTGATATATAGAGCTTTCACTCTCCTCCTCTCATTTTGATTCTCACACCAACCCGCAGAAAGAAACTGAAGCTTATGAATAAATAAATGGCTTGCTCAAGGTCATACATTCAGTATGAAATGCTGCGACCAGGCTGTGGGATGTAATGTAATCTGGCTTGATAGCATTCATTGATGTCTAGCACCTGACACAAAGCAGCATCCTGCTAGTGTTTTAATATTTGTTGAGTACAAGGTAGTAATACCATATTGCTTTGGCTCTGGCACATTCTCCTGAGTTGTAGAGGTGAACCTATGTCTGCCTGTTTCTTGACTTTTCACCTATGGTTCAGTTTGCTGACATACCACCTTAATCCTTTTAAGAATATATTTTAAAAATCTCCCATTTTGTTAGTATTTGAGAACTATACATTTGGCTGGAACTATGCGACATAATTTGAGAATAATTACTAGAGTGAAACACAGGAGCTAAATAAGTGGAAAATAAGAAAGATCCAGTGTATGTCCAGCTAGGAGTGTCAAAAAGAGAAACTAGAGAGAATGGATATGAGCAGTGTTCATAAATAATAACAGAATTTTTCAGGATTGTGGAATATTTGCTCAGATTCAAGAAGCACATATTCTTCAGCAGGTTTAAAATAAAGAATTTCATACCTGGGCGTATGCTGATGAAACCGCAGAACACCAAAGACTAAGAAGTATTAAAAGAAACTTTGTTGTTGTTGTTGTTGTTGTTGTTGTTAGAGTATAAAATATACATGATGTTTATAGTATAAAATATACATAACAAAACAATTTACATCTTATTTTATTTTTGATAAGTTTGTGTATACATGTGTGTGTATATATATATATATATATTTGTTTGCTTTAGAGAAAGAGAGCATGTGCATGAGCGGAGGGAGAAGGGCAGAGGGGGAGAGAGAGAATCCCAAGCAGGCTTTACACTCAGCATGGAGCCCCATTGGACTTCAGCCCCCAACCCTGGAAATCATGACCTGAACTGAAATCAAGAGTCAGATGCTCAACCGGCTAAGTCACCCAGGCACCCCTCATCTTAACTATTTTAAAGTGTACTGTTCGGGGCACCTGGGTGGCTCAGTCAGTTAAGCATCCGACTTCAGCTCAGGTCATGATCTCGCAGTTTGTGAGTTCAAGCCCCATGCTGACAGCTCAGAGCCAGGAGCCTGCTTTATATTCTATGTCTTCCTCTCTCTTTGCCTCTCCCCTGCTCACACTCTGTCTCTCTCTTTCAAAAAATAAACATTAAAAATTTTTTTAATTATATTAAAAAAGAAAGCTAGTAAGGATATAGAACTAGTTCCCAACCTTCGCTTGAACATTAGAGTCACCTGGAAATCTCTTAAGAATTCTAAAGAACAGGCTAACACCCTATACTATTTAAATCACAATCTCAAGGGTTGGGATACAGGCATTGATATTTTGGGAAGATACAAAGGTGATTTGAACAGAGTGCAGGGAAATTAGGGAACTATTGTTATAGAAGACCTTAACAAGCCTATCAACCAATTTGACCTAGTTGGCATTTATAAAAAATTCCATCCAATAATTAGAACATACCTTCTTTGTACATGGAATATTCAAGAAAGTGGACCATATTCTCTGTCATGAAACAAACCTCAACACATTTAAAATGATTGAAATTAAAAAAAAATAAGGCGATTGTAATCATAAAATACTTTCTCTGCCAACAAAGGAATTAAACTAGAAATCAATAACAAAGAGATTTGTGAAAAATTTAGAAATTAAGTAAGTATATAAATTCTACACAAACTCTTCCAGACAATAAAATAGGAAAGAACACTTTCCAACTCATTTATAAGAACAGTGTTACCCTGATTCCAAAACTAGACAAAAACAGTAAAAGACATGAAATTGAACATAGGACAAAAGTCCTTTACAAGTTTATAGGAAATCAAGTCCAACAATTGCCTCTAGACAGAGAGTCTGAACAGTTGTGATTTTGGCCCCAGAACTTTCACTTCTCTCACAGATTATGCTTTAAAGCTGATTCTAAAATTCATATGGAAAAACAAAAGATACAGAATAACAATGTTGTAACAGAACCACAAAGTTAGAGGACTTATACTACCTTCTTTCAAGTCTTATTATAAAGCTAAAGCAATAAAATAAATGGAGTATTGTTATAGACACATAGATAAATGAAATAGAATAGAATCTAGGAATAAACTCACATATAATATGGTCAATTGATTTTCAGAATTGTACCTTTTATGAGAAAGAATTTTTTTTTCCCACAAATGGTGCCAAAACAGCTGGATATCAGTTGAAGAAAAAAATGAACCTCAATCCCTACCTTAGAGCATACACAGAACTGTTAATTCAGAATGGATCATAAACTGAAACATAAAAACTAAAACTGTAAATCTTCTAGAAGAGGTCAAAGAGAAAAAATCTTCGTCCCTTTGATATTGGCAGAATTTTTTGAGAAAGGTCACACACACACACATATTAAAAATGATTAATTGAACTTTATAAATGGTAAAAATTTCTGCCCTTTTTAAAAAATGTTTATTTTTTAAGGAGAGGGAGAGACAGAACATGAGCGGGAGAAGGGAAGAGAGAGAGGGGCACAGAATCTGAAGCAGGCTCTAGGCTCTGAGCTGTCAACACAGAGCCCAATGTGAGACTTGAACTCAACAACTGTGAGATCATGACCTGAGCTGAAGTTAGATGCTTAACCAGCTGAGCCACCCAGACACCCCTGCTCTTTGAAAGACACCATTTTGGAAATGAAGACAATTTATAGACTGGGAAAAAATCATAATACATGATCTAGCAAAGGACCTAAATTCAGAATGTCTCAGAACTTCTTCAATCAATAATGGAAAAACATCCCAGTAAAATAATGGAAATAAAACTTCTCAGCAATAAAAAGTAACAAACTACCAATATGGATGAATCTGAAGTATATTATCTGAGAGAAAACAGCCAGATAGAAAATATGCAAACCGTATGATTTTATTTTATTTTATTTTTTTAATATTTTTATTTATTTCTAGGAGAGAGAGAGAGAGAGAGACAGCGTGAGCAGGGGAGGGTCAGAGAGAGAGGGAGACACAGACTCTGAAATAGGCTCCAGGCTCTGAGCTGGCAGTCAGCACAGAGCCCGACGCGGGGCACGAACCCAGGAACCGCGAGATCATGACCTAAGGGAAAGTTGGATGCTTAACCGACTAAGCCACCCAGGCGCCCCTGAATTTATTTTAATATAAAGCTCTAGAGCAGACAAATCTTATCTATTGTAATAGTTGAATTAGCAGCTGCTTGGGGTTGAGGACAGATAGAGAGTTGACCACAGAGGCGCATGAGGGAACTTTCTGTTGTAGTGGAAATATTCTATATATTTTTATTGCGGTGGTGGTTACACAGTGCATACAACTGTCAAAAGTTATCTTCTGTAACTTAAATTATATTTGATTATATATTATTTTTTCCACTGAAACTGATTTTTAAAATTTATTTATTTATTTATGTTTGAGAAGAGACAGAGCATGAGCAGGGGAAGGGTCAAAGTCAGACACTTACCTGACTGAGCCACGCAGGTGCCCCTGAAACAGATTTTTTTAAATGTTTACTTATTTTGAGAAAGAGAAAGAGTGGAGGAGGGACAGAGAGAGAGAGAGAGAGAAAGAAAGAGAGAAAATCCCAGTCTCCTCACCACCAGCACAGAGCCCAACATGGGCCTTGATCCCATGAGACCAGAAGATCATGACCTGAGCCAAGATCAAGTGTTGGATGCTTAACCAACTGAGCCACCCAGGTGCCCTGAAAGTGATTTTTTTTAAATGAGAAGACTATCCAGGATTTCTTTAGGGTTTGAAGTATACTAGATATGGTATATGTGTTATTTTACTCAGTTCTCAAGCAATCCAGTGATGTAGGTGCTATCAATCCCATTTTGGAGATGAGGAAATTAAGGCTTAAATTGTAAAAATATCATACAGCTGGTGAATAGGCTGAATTCAAACTTCTCTTTTTATCTCTAAAGTAAGTATCATAAAACCAACTTTACTGAATTGTTATCAGGATCATTAAAATTAAATACAAATAAAGCACTGCAAAGATTTTCCCAGTTGAAATGACTTTGAAATCATAGCCCAAAGAAGGTGTGGGTTGGAACTTGCTGCCTCAATCTAACCAACTCAAATTCCCACTAAAAAAATTTTAACATTCTCCATAGGACTTAAACCAGACCCAGGGTCTCAATAATGTAATAGTCAAAATTTTCAGGATCCAATCCACAATTATTCAGTTTATGAAGAACTATGAAAATCGCAATTCACATGAATATAACAGTCAACAGATACCGATACTAGGATGACACAAATGTTGAAATTATCCAGAAAAGATTTTAAGCAGCTATTAAAAAGTACTTGAACAAGCAATCATGAAAGATCCTGAAACAGAAGTTATAATTGAGAATATTAGTAACATAACAGAGGCTACCAGTAAGAACCAAATGGAAATTTTATAACTGAAAAAAGTATATAACTGAAATGTAAAACTGTCTGCAGAGAATCAATGGTGGGATGAAAATGAAAGAGAAAAGAGTTGGTGAACTTGAGGAAACCTCAGGAGAAATGATGCAATCTGAACCTCAGGACAAAAAATGATGGGAAAAACAAACCAACCAACTTCAGGAATGAAAGAAAACAAAAGAGATACCATTTTGTGTCATCAGAGTCCCAGCAGGAAAGGAAAGAGAGTTTGGTTCTAAAATATACTTGAAAAAATAATGGTTTTCTAAGCATCACAAAGAAAATTTCATAAGAGGAGGGTATGATTAGGAAAATAATGTCTCAAAGGCTCTGGGGGTGGGGTATACTGAAAAAGACCACTGAGAACACTAATCTAGAGCACTAATATCTCTAACATCACAAAGAGAACCCACTAAGCAGCATGTATTTCCTGATGGAAGAAGAATGTACCACCATCTTGGAAATAGTCTTGCCCGCTTGCCCCCACCGAAAAGGAAAAGAAATTGCAACCTGACCTGATCAAGCCCATAAAGTAACAATTTAACAGGAAAACAGAGGTCACAGAGAAATACGGTAAATCTACAACCTGGACAAAATTAGCAAAATCTGGCTATTGAGAAAAACAAGACAAAAACAACAAACAAAAAGCCCTTTTCTTTAACAAAAAGAAAATAAATTGCACTGGGGGGAAAAATTGAAAGAAAACCTATAGATAAAATGATGCTTAAGATACATATTTTTAAGGGCACCTGGGTGGCTCAGTTGGTTAAGCATCTAACTTCGGCTCAGGTCATGATCTCACAGTTGGTGGGTTTGATTTCCACATCAGGCCCTGTGCTGACAGTTTGGAGCCTGGAACCTGCTACGAATTTTGTGTCTCCCTCTCTCTTTGCTCCTCCTCCACTCATGCTCTGTCTCTCTTCATCTCTCAGAAACGAATAAACATTAAGAAAAAAATTTTTTAGATACATATTTTTAAAAACAGACAAAAAAATCTCTGGTTTATTTTGGATGCTAAAACCACTGAAAAGACACAAGAAAATGGTTGCCATCAAGTAGAATATGATTATTTTAGAGCACTTGCCTTTTAAAAATTTCTGGACTGGCAAAAGTTGGACAACTTGGGTAGTGAGTTGGGGCACCTGGGTGGCTCAGTTGGTTGAGTGCCAACTGCAGCTCAGGTCATGATCTCACAGTTCGTGGGTTCGAGCCCTCAACTGGTCTCTGTACTGACAACTCAGAGCCTGGAGCCTGCTACGAATTGAATTCTGTGTCTCCCTCCCTCTCTGCCCCTCCCCCCACCAATGCTCTGTCTCACTCTGTCACTCAAAAATAAATAAATGTTAAAAAAAAATTCTGGAACCAAACATATATCTTGTAAGATAATTTAGAGTTTAAGGAAGTCATTAGAAAAACTATTTCAAAAAAGAGAACACACCAGATGATCATAAAGTTAGAGAGCAATATGTCAATCACAAAATATTGCAAATCTGATAAAACAGTATTACTGATAATTAAGTTCTGCCCTTGAATGTAGGGAAAAAAAAAAAAAAAAACCCTTGAGGAGGGCATGGGTGGCTCAGTTTCTTAAACGTCCAGCTCTTGACTTTTGCTTGGTTCATGATCTCACATTTGTGGGTTAGAGCCCCACATTGGACTCTGCACTGACAGTGAGGCCTGCTTGGGATTCCCTCACTCTCCCTCTTTCTCTGTCTGTCCCTCCCTTCCTGTGTGCTCTGTCTTTCTCTTTCTCAAATAAACTTAAAAAATACTTCATTAAAAAAAGAAAGAAAGATAAAAAACCTTGAAATAACAAAAAAGGACAGTATACCAAATTGGATAGAAAAAGGAAGTTGAAATTTTAACAGACTAGTCCTGAGTAAACATTCTTTAAGCTATGCATTTATTTTTATATAAAAATAAATGCTCCATATTTGCATTATATTTCAGTTAAAAATGGTTTAAAAATAGTCACAAATGTTTCCTTCTTCTGAATAAGGCAAACATACATGTACAAAGAGAAGCCGCAGAAATTGCACAGAAAGATTTGATTATAAGATGAAAATTTGTTATCTGGGATATGCATATATTAATATTATAACCATCTAAATAAAAGCATAAAATTAAAATATTATTTGTAGAGAATGGGGAACTCCAAACTGAAAGCTATTGTTACAAAGCAATGTATTAGGTGAGGAAGAAATGATAAATAGTATAGAACTTCCAAGATCATTTTGATGTTTCAGCCTGACATAGTCTCATCATGAACATGAAACTTCTAACTTAAGTAATTAGAGAGTTCTAAACATTCTGTAGATATTTTAAAGTGAAATATGCTAAATGGTAGCATTTTGATAACTTTCAAGTGTAACCAGGTGTGTTCCCTGATACTTTAAGCTCATTAATTTGCAAAATGTGTTTCATTTCATTCCTAAATAAGAACTCACATTTTCCTTTTTACTTATTTTTTTTTTCCCTTGAAAGGTTATTGAATTCATTGGAGAATGAGTGCTGTCCTAAATTTGGTGAGTAAAGAATATACTCTACTTGTTGAAACTTGATTTACAAACTAGACTTAAGAGTATACCATACTGCTATTTGGTAAATTAAGCTGTTCATGTATACTTTTCTCAACATTATAATTTCTTGATAATAAGCAATAGTTGGCTAATTTGATTAGAGTTATTTTCATTCATTGGTTTAATAGAGGAAAAGTAAGAAGTTGCCAGTGTATTTTTAGAGTTTCTCAAGTGAGAATTCAGAAGGACTTCAGGGTCTTCATGGAATCAAGCTTTGAACTTTATGGCAAAACTGAAAGCAATTGGGAATGATTACGCAGTCTTGATGCTTATTTTTCTCTGCACAAAGTAATGTTTAATCAGTTTCCCCAAAGATTGGTGTTTATACCTCTGGCTGTACAAGATTAGCTTTTAAAAATAGTTATATATTTTATTGTAATTGAAAATACAACCAACCCCTCAACTTGCAGATGTGCTGCCTAGAACAAAGACAAGTTCAGAAATAATTAAATGGTTAATTTAATGTGGCAAAATGTGTGATGATGGTGTGCAAATGACTGGTTTGGAAAGTCTGATGTCTCAGCATTGCAACAAGCACTGGTCTGAAGAAGAGAAAGTCTGGGTTCTAGCTCTGGCTCAATCTATATTTGTTTCCTCCAACTCTTCGTATATTTACTAGGTGAAAATTTTATTTCAGGGCTTATTACAAGCTAAATACTGTAAAATATCCAAATATTTGAAACTGACCATAAATCTGTAGGGGATGCATCACTTTACTATAGACTCCTGTTTCCTCAAGTGAAGGATTGTAGTAAAGTTCAGTCTGCTTGTCTAACATTATGTAAAATACTATTGCATTTATCAAAGAACACTGCTAGTGAGTGATAACAGAGGATTCCTGTATTTAAGACTGAGCCTTTGATGGTTTGGTTGTGTCTAACTATCTAGCCCTTAGTAACATGTCTGCCATAGGTCCTGAAAGCTTTCCTCAGTGATTCATCTTTGGGCCACTCCATTCCAGCTTTTAAGATTTGGGGTTTCTGTGATTCTCTATATGCAAATCAATTATCATTAATCATTTCAGCTGGGTGCGTGTTTCACTACATCTTCATAAAACAATTTGCTTTAAAATCAACAGTAATCATTGGGCTCTGGGAGCATAAAGGGGATTCTGTTTTAATATGACAAAGTGATTCTTTGAAGTGCATAGGTGTCAGGTTAATAGTGACACTGATATTTTGTACAAGAATGCCTTACTAGCAAGGCTCTAAAATGCCAGAGTGCTAATGGATTTTCTTACTTCCAATATACAAGCATGATTCTCATACCTCTCTGTTTCCCTAGTAACTGTTTATGCTAAAAATAACCAACTTTGGAGAGCCTTTCTGTCAGGCTCTGGGATTTTAAGTTACTTATAGGCTAACAAGTTAGCCTGCTACGAATTCATGAATGCTGGAAAGGAGACATGAGATGCCTGATCAGAGTACAAGAACTCTTATTAGGCATAGCTCGCCAGCAGCATGAGCTTCACGCAGGCTTGCTTCCGTTCGCCACGTTCCCCAAGTCCCACAGTGGAGAGGCTGAGGGCTCAGGTAGGTGCCTGCACAGGCAGGGGATTATGGTACAGGGAGGAATACTGAGCTTAGGGGGTCTATTGCTTTTATAGCTAGTGGAAGCAAGCTTGTTATTTAATCAGGGAGAGGCATTATCTCAACTCTTAAAGTTGCTCTTTGCAAATGCACCCCCAAGAAATGGTCTGAGTCAAGACCTCTTGGCATACCAGCAAGAGCATATAATGACACTCAGGGCTCCTTACAGACTGCCTCTCCCCCAGACCTCTAACTTCAGTAATCTTTAGTTCTGTGACAAATTCCCATTTTTCTTCCTCCTTCCTTCCACAATGATTTCAGGAAAATACTACAAAACATCTGTCTCCTAAAGTGGTAGGGTGCCTAAAAGTTCTCGAAGAGAACCACCACTAGCAGGCATGGAAGAATCATCAGTATAAGTCAATGGCTCAATAACAATCAGATTTTTAAAATCAGCCAAAATATTTTTTTTATTTTTTTAATGTTTTATTTATTTCTAGGAGAGAGAGAGAGACAGCGTGAGAAGGGGAGGGTCAGAGAGAGAGGGAGTCACAGACTCTGAAACAGGCTCCAGGCTCTGAGCTGGCAGTCAGCACAGAGCCCGACGCGGGGCTCGAACCCACGAACCGCGAGATCATGACCTAAGTGAAAGTCGGACGCTCAACCGATTAAGCCACCGAGGCGCCCCAGCCAAAACATATTTTGTAGCTATTGTGGAGTCCTACCCTTTCTTTTTCACTGTTTCACTGAACTTTGCAACCATCAGAACGAAGGACAAATCTGTCTGTAGTTTGTTTTAAAATAAGTGGTTAAAATTAGTAATTTTCAGTATAGTTAGTAACACTCATCACAGCAAAAGCAGATCAAAATGTTCTCAGTTTGAAGTAGGGATTTATCCAGGCTCTTTTTCTTCTTTTTTAGTGAAGGCAGAAAACAAGAGAAAGCCTCACTACTAAGGGATGAGAGTGTTGCTTGTGTCCCTGCTCAGAGACAACCTGTGTCTGGTCTAAAGTCTGATGACAACTAATTTAAGTCAGTTCAAGTCCCCTTAAAGCTATAGAAGAAACAAGTCCTCAAGTTAGGAAAAGAGCCCAGAATTCTTTGTCATTCACCCCTGATGATAGAATTGTGAGTTTAGAGTTTCTTTATGTACAACAGGCAGCAAATTAGAAGAAAATATAATGTAGTTTTCATTTTGGGAGAAAATTGATAAATGGCCTTCAGATGTATTTCACATTCATCCTTCTTACAGAAGTTTCTTCATAAAAAATATTTTTAAGGAAAGAAAGAAAGGAAGGAAGGAAGGAAGGAAGGAAGGAAGGAAGGAAGGAAGGAAGGAAGGAAAAGAAGGGAAAGAGAAAGAGAAGAAAGAGAAGAAAGAGAGAAAGAGAGAAAGAGAGAAAGAGAGAAAGAGAGAAAGAAAGAAAGAAAGAAAGAAAGAAAGAAAGAAAGAAAGAAAGAAAGAAAGAAAGAAAGAAACTTTCTCCAGAGGTGATATGTCTGGATTTTTATGTTTCAGGGTATTCAGAGCACTGTTTCCCCCATCTGAAGAGTTTTCTGTTGAAATAAATTTTAATATTTTTGTCTAACAAGCATCACTTGCCACAACCCAACTCCATATTTTAACATTTCTTGCAAGTATCTCTGAGGTTCAGTTTTGGAGTTGATGTAAACAGTATATAGTCTACTCTTAACATCACCTCATAAAAGCCATAGCTCTTGTGCTGCAAGTGGCCATCTATAGGAATGGGAATTACAGAGCTTATCCTAAAGGTCTGTTGGGAAGATGAAATAAAAATATCTGAAGGAAAGTTGCTTGGCGTGGTGGACTAGAAGAGCTAATTTTATCTAAAACCTCCTATACCTGATTCCTTAAATTCCTTGAAGGCACCAATTGATCTTCTTCATTAATGTAGCTCCGTTGCCAAGCTTGGTACCTATATGTGTGTCCATAAATGTAAATTGAATGAATGAATGAATGAACGTTCTGCCACTTTTTCTATCTTATAAGAAGCAGGCGTGTCTGTGATGCATTAGAGGATGATAGTGTATTTCCACAATGTCTTTCCACCTAAGAGCTCATATAACTTTCTGTCAAATTATCTCACTGCTCCTTGTCACATCGCAGGGAGAGGGCATAATAGCCAAAGAAGTCATTTTCCTTATGGTTCCAGTCAGGGATCTTCACACCTACATAACATTAAGCACACATGAAACATCACCTGTAGTGACAAGCAATGTGACCTCATCATAATATATGCCTCTGACAACTAAAAGAGATATTCAGAATAAATGAAAAGATAACCATGAATGTCCTCTGGGGGCATAAGGAACTGCTAGAGACTTGAGTGCATGTGTTCTCTTTGAGATGGTACACTAGTGACCTCTAGTGGCAAAATTGATTCAAGGTAAGTTCTAGTTCACAAAATTTTTTACTTCATTACCCCTATCCTTGGGTTTTCCCTTCCCTTTAGCAACATTTTTCTGCTTGTAGAATAATTTTAATTATACACTGTGATTTTTATCTGTTAACATACAAAAATTATTTTTGCATTTCATAGAATCATAGAACTTTTGAGCTGAAACACTCTCAATTTATTGATTTTATTTCATCAAGTGCCAAAAAAAGAGCCCCAGAAAAAATAAAGTGACTTGTCTGAAAGACTAAAAGTCTAATGAGTCTAAGGCTCTTTCCAAACGTCAGATGACAGCACCCCAACTGACGTTTGACCTCATCAGCATGAGAGACTCCTAAGGGAGAACTACCCAGCAAAGCCCTTCCTGAATCTCTGAGCCACAAAAATCATGAGAAAAATAAAGTGAATATTTCTTTACAACTCTAAGTTTCTGGATTTGTTGCACAGCAATAATAACCACAACAAAGAGATCATTTAGGAACTTTTTCCAATTCTATAAAAAATACTGAATGAGAAAAACAAACTAATGTACACTTCTCAAATACTCATGGGCTCTCAGTTAATCTATTAAAAGGCCATAATGTTAGCTATAATAAATCAAAGATCTCTAGGTCCAAATGAGTACATATTCTTTTTTAAAAAATTTTTTAATGTTTTATTTATTTTTGAGAGAGAGAGAGAGACAGTGTGAGCAGGGGAGGATCAGAGAGAGAGGGAGACACAGAATCCGAAACAGGCTCCAGGCTCTGAGCTGGCTGTCAGCACAGAGCCTGAAGCGTGGCTCGAACCCACGAACCACGAGATCATGATCTGAGCCGAAGCTGGACACTTAACCAAGACTGAGCCACCCAGGCGCCCCATGAGTACGTATTCTAATTGACAGAAATCTAAATTCTTCTCCCTTCATTAGTCCAGATTCTAAATATGTAAATTTTGAAAGTATGAACCAAAATAGAATATATGTGCTCTGTATCCTATAAAAACTTATAAAACCCTATAAAAATGAATCAATGTCAGTTGAAAACTATATTTTCAGCTCTGAACGTGTTAGTCACTTAAGAGAATACAGAAGTCTCTCAAAGAGTTTATTATCTATTTGTTAAGACCCATAGAACCCTCATTAGACAGAAAAGTGTAAAATAGGGTGGTACTAAGTATGATAGAACTTTTAAGAGAAGAGAGAGCTGTTGGACTGGGTTAGGAACACATAGAACATATGGGGAGGCATGTGAAGACACTTTTCTGACTAGTATACTTTTTATTTTCCCAACTGTAAATTCCCTGAGAGATAGCTGTGCTTCTGCCATGATTTTTACTCTGTATCCAATACCCACCCCATAACATGGATCCAGTATAACCTATAAAATTATGATTTAATGACACATTTGGAAGTAATAGGAAATAAGTTGGATATCAAGAGTTTGAATGAAAAAGAATTAATCAATGAAAGAGTGAACAAATGATTCAGCTGAAGAGGGCACGGAAAGCCAATGAGGAATTTGATAAGATAGATTCCTAAGGTGGTGAGTGACCTGTTTTCCAGAAAGATTTGTTTAGACATAGGATGTAGGATGAATTTGGTAGCAAGAGAATATAGCAGGACGAATACATAATAACAACAATAATATCAAGCATTTATTGAGTTCAGCATTTGTAAGGTGCTGAATTGAGCACAAAATATCTCATTCAATCTTCACCATAATCCTGTAGATACTATAATTATCTTTACTTTGCACATGAAGAAACTAAGATTCTCACATGCTAAGTTATATGACTGTTACAGAAATTCAGTTGTGAGAGATAAAGGCAGTGGATATGGAGAAGAGAGACTGTTACCATAAACATGTTAAAGAAAGTAAAAACTGGATGTGTTAAAAGATTAAATCAACTATGGCAGATAAAGGTGAGGGAAAGCTCAGAGATTACTATGTATTTTAGCGTCAGGTTCTAGAAAAATGATAGTACCATGTTGCAACTGTACCATGTGGATGGGTTAGCCTATACTGTGCCTCCCTTTTATTTTTATTTTTATTTTTTATTTTTTGGATTTGTGCCAGTGACCTTCATAAAGGATCACATTGTGTCTCCTTTTATTTTATTTTATTTTTTTTACAAATAGTTTATTGTCAAATTGGTTTCCATATAACAGCCAGTGCTCATCCCCACAAGTGCCCTCCTCCATGCCCATCCCCCCCTCCCCCCCACATTCATCAGTCCTCAGTTTGTTTCTCAGCATTCAAGAGTCTCTCATGGTTTGCCTCTCTCCCTTTCCCCCACCATTTCCCCCCTTCTTCTCCCCCATGGTCCTCAGTTAAGTTCCTCCTAATCCTCCTATACGTGCAAACACATGATATGTGTCCTTCTCTGCCTGACTTATTTCGCTCAGCATAACACCCTCAAGGTCCATCCATGTTGATACACATGGCCAGATTTCATTGTTTCTCATTGCCATGTAGTATTCCATGGTATAGATAAACCACATCTTCTTGATCCATACATCAGTAAATGGACACTTAGGCTCTTTCCATGTTTTGGCTATTGTGGAGAGTGCTGCTATGAACATTGGAGTACATGTGCTCCTATGCATCAGCATTTCTGTATCCCTTGGGTAAATTCCTAGCAGTGCTATTGCTGGGTCATAGGGGAGTTCTATTGTTAGTTTCCTGAGGAACCTCCACACTGTTTTCCAGAGGGGCTTGTGCCTCCCTTTTAAACCCAAGATTCTGAGAGAGAAGTAAGCCCTCCTAAAGTATCCATTGTATGAAATAAATTGTCTCCTTGTATCTAGAAAGGTACTAGTTATATGCCATGTCTGGGAGCATTGAGAAAGTAGTCATAAATCTTTTTTATGTGTTTCATGGTTCATTTAAAGAAACGTGGTGGCTCAGTTGGTTAAGCTACCAACTCTTGATTTCAGCCCAGGTCATGATCTCATGATTTTGAGATCAAGCCCCACTCTGGACTCCTCGCTGGGTGTGGAGACTGCTTAAGATTCTCTCTCTCCTTTTCTCTCTCTCTCTCTCTCTCTCTCCCTCTCTCTCTGTCCTTCCCTTACTCTGGAAGGAAGGAAGGAAGGAAGGAAGGAAGGAAGGAAGGAAGGAAGG